TCCATCATACAACTCTCTAATACCTAATACCTAAAAGCGACTCGCGATCATCATTATCCTTGTCAAAATTAATCCTTTCCTTCATAATCCCTTTTATCATCTCCGAACTGCGCGCTCTCTCTCTATTGTCTTTTTATATATTAATCCTTATTACGTTCAGCAAATATATTTATTAATTCATTTGTCAACACTTTTATACAAATATTCTTTCACTTTTAACTATTTTGTCAAAAATAATTTTTCTTATAAAATTTATTGTTTTTATTTCGAAAAAGAATACTTTATGTAATGAATTTAAATATTCTAAAAAATGATTAAGAAAATTTTTCATTTTCTAATGTTTGTATTTTTATTTACAAGATATTTTTTTTGTAAAAATAAATTTTATAAAATATTTAATGGAAAATTTATTTCAATGAAAAATTTGTGCGATGAAAGTTAAAAAAGATTATTTTTTTAAATAAAATTGTTTAATTAATCTTTTTAGGATTGAAAAAAAATGATTTTTGAATGATTTGCAATGATCGAAGCGACAAATAAAGAAATTTGAATGATTTAAAAGGAAATTTAATTTGATGTCGGTTGTTATTTTATCTTTTTCTTCTTTTTTGTTTGATAAATTATCTAAAAAATGTTTTACGAGCGTTTCATGATTCCTCCTTTCTCAAACAAGAAGCTTATTTATTTAATTCCTTCCCTCTCGTTTTCCTATTTTCCTGCCGGCGTTCATTTTCATTTTTATAATATCTTCAGGAATAGACTTGCATAGCGTCCATGCATGCATGCATGTTTTTTTTTAATATTGGAGTTCTTTGAATTTCTCAAGTAAGATAGGTTAAATAATATAATGCAATTCGGAATGATTAAATGGATGAACAATGTTGTATGCACGAATTATTATTTATAAATACGAGATGAATGCTTTTCTTTCTGGTTCAGCAACCGGTCAAATAAATAATTAAGCAAAATTTAATTTATTTCCTTTTATATATCTGAAATGATTTCCATGAGATTTATTGCAATAATATTGAAAAAAATTTGTCAACTAATTTTTTCCTTTGCTTTAATGTTACTTGCAGCAATGAATTTCCATAAATGCTTCATTTTTTTACTTATTTTTATATTCATTTTTAAATTTTCAAGAGAAAAAGTTCGGAAAATTGGAATATTCTTCGCAAAAGTAGGTTTTTTCAGGAAAAAATTTTAAAATTTTGCAAAAAATTTAAAGTTTTTCGAAATTTTATCTTATTTCCATAAAGATTTTGTCATTAGTTATGTTAACCATAAATACTGTTGTTCATTTGAATATATTACAAATTTCCTGAGGTATTATTATTGTCATTATATCTTATTGGTATGAATCACCGTATGGTGTTTGAGACAACAAAGTGGGCGTCAAGCCAAAAAAAACTCCTAACGCATATTTCCCAATAAAAATAATAAATAGGAGAAACTTCAAATAAATCCAGAAAACTCCGAAGAAGGTCATATTTCATTCGTAATAGTTATTTCTTTTATTTTGGCTTATGCAAGTTGGATATAAATTGCCAGTGATTCGCTGTGGATCGTTTTCATACTATTAATTAAGGCTTAATTAGACAAAAGTAAGAAAATGATTTGAATAAACTGGTTAGATTGGCTAATTCAATAAATTTATTGCGTTTTGATTGAGTGGTTTTGCAAGCTTTGCAATACACGCAAAACTTGATCATTAATTCAAAAATAGTATCTAAGGGAATTTTTCAGTAAAAAACTCTTCAGATTCATTTCGATATTATCTGTTTTGCTTCTCGAATTCCACATTTTTTTTATTTCATCGAATGTATAAGGCGAAATATGACGAAATAAAACGTGTTTCCATGATCCATAAGCGAGTTTCATGCATTATTTTTGATTTACTAAATATTATTTATGAGAATAATGTTTATCATTATTATGAAATAATTGTGCTTATTGTTATGTTTTGTGAAGCGAAACGAAGAAATTACAAAAAATAGGAAAATTAATTTAAATACTGCAGAAAAGATTGGTTGTGAAAGTTGAAAAAGGAACAAAAAATTGAAGAAGTAGCAGCAGTGAGCGATTGTAGAAACGATGTTTCTAGATGGCATGCTTGATGAATTGTTCTATTTGTCGATTTATGTAGTTCAATATTTTTGCGCTCATCTCAAGGGGTGACGCCGTAAATCATTTTCTCTTCGAAATCTCTTTTGAAAAATGAAGAGTTCTCAGCGAAATGCCGCTTCGAATCAATCATACCAACTGCTTTTCCTGCCTGTTTTCTTTTCAACCCTCATAACAAATTACTTTCCTACTTCAATATCCTCCTCTATTATTTCATACCCTCTATTGCTATTATAATTTTCGAAGAATTTAAATATTTAAGCAACCTTTGGCGTTTATCATAAGATTTTTGGAATTATTTCGAAATCTCGAAATTTGCCCACAGTTGCCAAATTTTACTGATTGAATTCACCAGTCCGAAAGTTTGTTGCACATATAAATCGTTGATAAATTGCGAAAAAAATTGTTGACAATGAGAAAATATAAAAATAAATTTAGGATTTTATTTTTGCTTATAAAATTGCTCTTTTATAAAAATAATATTCATTTCTAGCCAAATATCATTTCTTTAATCATAAATCATTTTTGATGACGGAAAGGATCAGCAATAACTATTCTATAATCCTATACAACAACTAATCTTTATAGAAAATTTACATCTTAGATATGGTTGTTGAAGTTTGAGAATTAATAAAGAAACTGCATAAATGAATCTTAATCTTACAATTTTATAAGAAGAATTTATAGTGGATTATTATTTAATTTACATGGAATTTACTCGATAGTTTATTTTAAAATAGGTTTGTACCAACGATTCTAAATATTTTCAACTGATGGATTCAAACTTTTTTTTTATATAAATTCAGCTTTTATTTTTCAAAGATGCGAGAAACAGTGAAAATTCCTCTAAAAATGCAAATGGTTTGTTGCTATTTTGCGATGGATTTGGATAAACCGTTATACGTTCTTATGTTTTAGTTAATTAATTACTTGTTACTTAAAATAATAATAAAAGCATTAGTTTAAGACTTTCAGCTTTGATAAATTTCCAGTCTTTCAACCAATTTAATTTATGCTTTTCATGGCAATTTGGTCAATTTAATTAGAAATTAGATGATGATTTTGTTTGTGGTCTAATTTCAAAAAATTAATTTTTCATGTTTCGATCTCAGTATTCGGTCCGCTTTTGCCTGTCACTTTCTTCTTCTAACAATCACCCTTTTTGATTCGACTAACTCCATCGGTTTGCTACTTTGCAAGTGAACTACATGGAAATAAGAATAACAAATTTCTAGCACCACGCTGTTTCCATAAAAATATCTCCTCCTTATTACCGCCATAATATTTCGTGCTACTTAATATTAATTTTTAGTAGAAATTCGATTTCTACGATTGAATTAAAAATAAAGTAATAAAATTTATTAACGTCGATTTAAAAGCGTTCATTGCTTTCAGACGTATACATTTGCTTTTGTCGCTTTTTACATATTTATTTGTTTTTCTTTAAATTTTATCCAAATTGCTAATTCAAATGCTTTACATAATATTTCATCGGTTTTAATGGTAAATTTGAATTTTTTATGAATCAACTGGAAAAGATTTTTGGCATCAATCGTTATTCTTGTGGCTTTCACTGATGATTAACAAGAAGACTAAAACAAGAATATTTAAAGAGAGAGAGACTTGTGAGACTTCGCAGCAAATCTATGCAATAAGACCAAAGGACTTCAACTTGAGACCGTAAATAGATAAATAACCGTTAAAACTGAAATTAACCCAATTCATTAACTTCAGTAAAAGAAATGAAGTTTTATTGCTAATCGAGGAACGGATAGATAGATGAATGGGTGAATAGATAGATGGTTCGACGGGTATATTTGCCTATTGATCGCTTTAGATCATAAATTTTTGTGATCGATGTAACCCATTCATTCACATACAACAATCCTTATGGTTCATTAATTTCACCAGCTCTCTCGTATAATTGGTTATTTTGCAATCGAATTGGGCGTCTCAACATCGAATTGCTCCACCTAAATAAGTTTTAAGCGGTATTTTCCTTTGAAGTTTGATGTGTTTAGGGTCCGCCTTTATTCTAATTCACCAACATCTCAACCAACAACACTCTAGTACGCCTTACAGACACTAACCCGGGCGGTTCACTTCCATCAAAGCCTTTTGTTCAGCTATTTTTGTTGTTAAAATTTCTGCGCATTCGTCTTTATTGCTATTCGTTATTGCTCTAATAAATAAATCTGAATAATTAAGAAAGCTAAAACTGTGCATAAATCGTTATCTGAATTAAAATTATTATAATTATGGTGTCGACACATTCGCAGTATATTTCCGATTTTAATAATTCATCGACATTAACTTCTGTAAGCACCAATTTCGTCTTTTTCTAATTTAGCCCTATTTTCTTTATAATTTCCTTAATAATTTTAATATTAATTCTTATATAATTCTATGGTGATTTTAAATATTAGTGAATTTATTCGATCTGTTCAGTAATTTAAATATGGAAAGTGAAAAGAAGTTCTTACGAATTTGGCTTATTCTTTTAGAAAAAAAAGAATTTCTAAGAATTTTTAAAATTTAAGAAAATTTTCATATATATTAAATGGAGGAAGAAATAATATTAGCAACATTAGAAAAATTTGATTTTATTTTATTATGTATATTAAATAAATTAGTGAGTTTTAGTGGGAAAGTGTAGTCTGAAAATAAGTATAAGTCCGCTTGACAGATGTTTGACACTTCTTTACATATATGTTTGATAAGTGACATCGATGAGTTGAATTCGTTTATAAGAAATGAATTAATTTTTGAAAACCATATCATCATTATGTCTTATTGGGGTTAAGAAAATTTTTTAAGAAAAAAATAAAGTTTTATGAATAATAACAGTTTTTAAGTCGGAAAAATCGCCTCTGGCAATGCTTGCAAAAACATGTGAAACGATTGGCCTTCCGGATACGTCAAATCGAAAATTGCTAAAAGACGAGAAAATAAAAGAAGGACATAGTCCAAATAATTCATCAAACGAGCCAAAAAAAGACGACTTAAGTCCATTATCGAAAAAGAAAGAAGAACCGAAAAGTCCACACCACAGGAGTCATAGTCCTTTATTGGGAAAAAAGACGCCTGTATCATCCGAACCATCAACAAGCACAGCTTCTCTGCAGCCATTATTAATGAATGGTCGCTATCCTATGTTTTCATCATTTGCCACCGGTTTTCCACCATTTTATCCACCAGTGATGCCAACTTTTCCTACTTTGCCCGCATTCACAGGAGCATTTCCAACTGGTGCACCTTTTTTACGATGTCCAGATCCGATAACATGTAAAGGTTGCCCTGCAACAATGATGTCACGACAGTGCGTCACACCTGGTTGTACAAGTTGCACTCTGCATAATCCTGGTTCGTCGTCGGTTGACATGATGATGTTTTCTCCATCTTTATTTTCTGCTTACAGTCCTTTAATGGCCGCACCTCTTCCACCAACTTCTAAGTAAGTCTGGTTGCTTCTTATCATTTGTAAATTGCATTATTTTTTTCAGTGGCATATTAAGAATGAAAAATAGAGGAATTATTTTTGGCAAAGTAGTTCATAATTTATTAACTTTAATTTCTATGATAATGAGAATGAATTCTAATTGGCCCGCCGTATTTAATCTTTTAATGATCTCTACTGTAAGTCCTTATGACACTTCATAAAAGTCAAGGTATGATTGCTTTTAAATTAAATTTGGTCAGTAGGGAGGGAGGGGGGGTGGGAGAGGGAGAGGAGGAGGAAAAAAGGAATTAGTTGGATATTTTTCATCAGTAATTAATTAATGATTTCTTTTAATAATCCAGCTTTAGACATTTAATAATAGGGATGGTGAATCTTAATACTTGTCATTTTTGTCAAAAGAATATTCATTTTGATGTGAAAAAAATCATTAATATTTAATATTTCTAATACGGTCGCTAATCTTTACTGATCATATCCATCTTAATTAATTACTATAAGGAATAATGACATAAAAGAATGTAGTAAAAAATTTGGATTAATATTTGATTACAACAGTCTTTTTGCACCATTCAAAAATCATTTTTCAAACATTCTCTTGAATTTTATTTCAAAGATCACTTTAAATTAACTAAATGTATTAGATCCGAGAAAAAAAAAGCGAAATTTTTAGTTCATCAGTGCAAATAGCTTATCAAAATATGATGGCTGCTGCATCAGGTCAAACAACAAAACACATTTGCAATTGGATCGAATCCAATAGCATTTGTGGAAAATCTTTTCCATCAGCTGATGAATTGGCTACTCATATGAAGGTAAAATTTTCAATAATAATATAACAATATATGTTTGCCAAATGGACAGCAAAATCAATGGGTCGTAAATATTTCTAAAAATATTTTTAATTACTTTTGCATTTTTGATTATAAAATGCATTAAATTCAAGCAATCACTCATGAAATCTATCTAAATAATCTAAGTTCATTAGATATTTTTGTAATTTTTGGCTTGAATGATTTTAATCCATTATAATTCTTAAAAGTAGTTAGCCAAGTTGAATTTTAGACATATACGAGATTGACTGAAAAGAAGATCCTCGCGAATTATTTTATTCCATTGATACATTGAATGATTTCAGTGCACACACGCGACTTCAAGCACTCCATCAAATATAACGGTGGACACTAAATCAGCATCACCCCGATCATCAACAACTTCAGTGATGAACCATAATTCTTTAAGGTTCCATCCATATATGAAACCGAATAATTTATTGCCGAACGCAATATCTAGCCCACTTGGCCTTCCGTCTTTTCCAACATTACCTAGCTTCCCCTCACCCGCTGCTTTTCAAGCGATGTATCGACAAGGTATGATGGCAACAATGCCTCATCACTGAATTAATTATTGATGAATATTTTTTATGTTAATTAGAATGAAAATCATCCATTTGGATGATGAATTAGACGAAAAGGAAACATTGCGGAAACACTGCATAGCGTAGCGTAGTTTTAAGGGGTGAGCATTATATTTGAAACAAAGAAATCATATACTCAATCTCTTTTTTCCGATTTTCGTTTAAATATTTTTCACCTAATAAATTTATTAGTTATGTAAATTACGCAAACTTTGCAACTTATTTCATGCGATCGGCCAATCAGTTGGTCAGTCGGCATTAACACATTGTCCATCGTTAATAAATCTGGTTTTAACCAAACGGGTACTTTTCTATAAAAACAATGATAATATTCCATAGCCAATATAATGAAATGGTTTATTAAAAGGATTCTGTGAATTTCAAAAATTATTTTGTGATTCTAAAAATGCCTTAAATTTCATTTTTTGTTCATTGTTATTTGTAAATTATTAATGTTTAGATTTAAAAATTTCTATAATTTTCTATTCGTCTTTGTAGTTACTATACGATAAAAATTTTATAAATTCCATCACTAAATAGATTTTTCAAAATCCTTGCTCCTTGTAGAAATTTTTTCCTAAAAACGGGTAGAGTTTTCCGAAGAAATCCAATGATTATTTTTATAATTATTTGATTAGATTTAAAATTTAAAATTTATTTGGTGATTTTTTTTTTTGATGAAATTTTCGACTTTTTATTTAATAAATCTCAGTATTTTCAAACCTTGCAGTTTCTTAAAATAAACGAAAATATTTTCAAATATCTATAATCATATGTCCTATTTCCATGCAAATGGCAGTTTTCTTTCGCATTATTTTTCCCAATTTTGTCATTTAAAGGAACATTTAAGCATTCAATTCATAATACTGCAACTCTTGACTTTGACTTTATTAAATAAAAATCTTTGAAAATATTGCATTGGTAAGGCGAAATATTGGAAAAAAATTAGTATAATTATAAGGATGCTTATTGTTAAATCAATCATTCTGTATGAATTTGATCGAAATTGTCACTCATATATTGGCATTTACTGTAGAAATGATCGATTGACAGGTTTATGAATCAGACAGGACAGTTTTCGGAATACATAAAAAAGAAGGCATAAATTCGTTGTAACCTTTAAAGAGAAATGAAATTTTGATTATTGTTCGAAATTCCTTAAATTTGTTTAATTCTTTTTAATAAAACCTCTTATTTTTTCAATTAAATTTATCAAATTTTTTCTTAATTCCAATTTTTATTTGCAACCTGAGAAATGAAAATTTTTCATTTCAGTCTGAAATATTTTTAAACGGAATTCTAAAATTGTTAATTAAACCGTAAATTAAAATTGTTATCAAATATCAAATTGGATGAAAATTTAAATGATTTCATATAATCATATAAATCCAACAAAATCATCCATTTTTGTTGAAGACGAGAGTCTTTTGAAAAGTTCTGATCAAATATACATGAATGCCGAGTTGTGCTTGAGATTCATCTGTACTTCCAAATGAACTGTTGTGATGCCTATACGCTTACTTATTTTATTAGCGTTGCAAAAAAGGAAAAATTTGCAAATCGGTGGATTATTCGCATCGTTCTTTGCATCATTAAATTATAGCAATAAATATTTTCGAAAAATTCCTTATCAATAATTACTGTAATTTAAAACTTTTAACTTGATAATTTTTCGCAATTTTTATTAAAATCGATAAAGAAATCAAGAAATAGTAATAATAATATGATGATGACGATAATGGGATAGCATTAAAAGAGCCATTTGATGATGAAATGATCAATCATTCTTGCTATAAAATGATTTACAGTCAAGACCGGATAAGACAAAAATCTCTTCTTTATGCTCAATCACCATCAATAATCGTCTTCCAATTTTTTGGCATCTATCAATCATTAATAGAGCGGCCGTCTTTTTATTACAAATATGAATACACATGCATGGGCGACATTCAACAGCGTTTTTGTGATAATAATTCTCATATTCGATTAAAATTTTCAACTGGATAATATTTTTGCGCATTACTTTAACCGTACTTCTTCTTCAAATAACTCGCACCGTTATCAGTTCGGTTCATTCGGTTAGCCAAAGTTGATGCTTTGCTAATCATTTCGATCCGTTGTCATTTCTCAAAGTATTAAAAAATATTCGCTTTTTCACTGCTTAAGCTCATATTTTATTGAGTAAAGTTTAAAAAAAAATTTTTTTGACTGCACATAACATACTTTATCAATTATTTTCAACATTTGCTTTAAAAAATAAGTTTGATCAACTGGTGAAAAATGATAAATTGATAAGTAATACTGAGGATTTTCGATAAAACATTATTTCATGAAACGTTCAATAATTATTTAAGGCTATACATTTTATTTTTGTAGATTACTGTCATAATGGCTTTAAATTTGGCAGTGTGATATATATCGCAATTATTATTTCATTGAAAATTGCATTGTAAGATATGGCATGTTATTTAAACGTGATTATCATTATCATCATCACCATTATCATTATCATTGTCATCATTGCCATTCCCATCGTAACGAAATATTATAGGTTAAATATTGTAGTATTCAGCAATAATACATTTTATAGGTATCATATTAATTCAGTCTCACAAAAAAAATTTTATTGTAGAATTGCCAAATTATTGAAAATTGTGAGTATTATCGGTACAATAAAAATAAAAAATGGTCTTTGTTGATAACGGTGCATATATCGTAAAGATCTTATGTGCAAATTAAAAGTGCGCTTTGCACAATTGGTTAACTTTGATGAGGCCGCCATATAAATAAAAATTAATGATTTATGAAGAATGGAGAGGTATTTCCGGTTTCTGTTCTATAACTACAATATTTATTTATAAAGATTTTATTAGCTTTTACCGGACAATGAAAAAATCTACAAAAGAGTCGTTTTTTTCGGGAAGGAGTGGAAAGGATTTACATATAAGGTCTCTATATCAGAACCTATAATACTTTCCTTTTTTCTTTTTTTTCAATCACCACATTTCTGGTTTGGCTAGCTGCACTAATAATTAGAGTGAGATTCCTTTGTCAGAGAGTCATTTTCAAAATTATCAGAAATAATGCCAATAAAATTGCAAATGTTCTCATTTTTTCAAATATTTGAGTAAATTTTAAAAAAATCACATTCGCTTGTTATTAATAAATAAATCAGCATTACAAATGTCTGAATTTTCTTAAAATTTTTCCATGTTTTTAAAAATTTGCAAAAAAAATAGATCAGACCATTTCATAAAAATTGGAAAAAGAATGTGAAAAAAATTGCACATATTTCTTCAATTTCCTGGTTGATTTTCAGCTGTATTTTAGAATAAATTTTATTAGTCGAATTAATTGAATCCATTTTGTTATATTTCCTGCCAAAAAAGAAATGACCATTAATTTTTTGTTCCACTAACTCTATTTTAAAATTTATTTAAATTGGCGGACAAGAGTTTAATAAGGTCTCATGCTGGTTGGTCGAGTGGTACGTTACTTCGGCGAACTATTATGGATTCTATCTTTATCTATCCCTTGACGCGAGTGCACCTGTCGTTGAAAAACAGAAGTACTTGGTGCAGAGAATTTTTTCCTCGAATGGCTCCGCGACAGAATGATCTCCCAGTAATCAGTGGAGCCATTCAAAGCATAAGTAATGAATCAGCAAATGAAAAAGGCCGTAGCATTCTTTCAATATTCGTTAATTATATTGTACAATTCATTCATTTGTTTGATATTTTTTGTAAAAATCTGATAAAATATTATTTAAATGATAATAATTTATATTGTTTGTTATTTATATTGTCAGCTAATATTGTGGCTTTTAAAAATAATTTAAAAAGATTTGCGATCGCTAATTTTCGATAATAATTGCACATTTGAAATGTAATTATTTTGCTAAATCGCTTGATTTTTTTTTAAAAAATCTATCTTTCTCGTTCGCATATGTCACACATTTTAACGATAAATGAGTATAATCAATCAGTTTAAGACAATTACTGTAGAGAATGTGATTGACGGCTTGTGCGGTTATTTCAAACGAAATCTTCTTCTGAATCGCCTCAAGACATATGTAATCCATCATTTAATTCTTTCAACAAATATCTTTCTGCATCTCTCATTTCTTTTTTCATATGAAATTATTGAACTATTTCAAGCCTTCTTAAATTCTTTCGTTCGAATTTTGATAGTACATCAAAATTTTTCAAAACTTCGATAGAATTTTTGCCTACAGCCAACCGACCAACCAAACTCTTCCATCCTATTTACACCATTCATTTAAACTTCCTTGAAACACTTTTTCGTCATTATTTGTTTGGTGAAAATTTGCTTGTTAACATCTATAATTCACGAAAAAATTTTTTCTTGAAGAGCTTATCTTGTAAGATTTTTGACTGCAGTACTGAGTAATTAACCTAAGGGCTTAAGCAAGATTTTTTCCTTTCATCCTTCTCCTTCATTTATTATTCCCTTATCTTAATGATGGTTCCTAAGCACATTACTATAAACAGACATATAATTTCCAAGACTATTCTATGAACTATTAGATTAATTAAGCGATTAATGAAAAATGAACAATCTAGCCAGTCAACTAACCGACGCAAAATGATTGATTAAAAATAGGTTTGATGCCTAAAATGCTAAAATATTTGTCTTTACGTTCTTTTGCCAATATGAAGCCAATGGAATTTCTTAAAAAATTTTTTGTAAAAATCGATTTACAGGAAAAAATGAAAAATCCTAAATGGAAAAGCCTCATTGCACATTGCACATCAAAAAAGGGACCAATTTAATAATTAATAAATTTTAAGCTTTTTTCTATGTATATATAATATATATATCAAATCAAAATTTATTTTATTATATATATAAAATATATATATCAAAATTTATATATATATATATTAAAATTAATTTGTACATAATTATTCGATTTGATTAAGGAAACCACCTCATTTTATAAAGTAAATGCAATAATTGCG